ACACAGAATCTGAAGCAGGCTTCAAGCTCTGGGCTGTCGGCACAGAGCCCCATGCAGAGCTTGAACCCACCAACTGTGAGATCAGGACCTGAGTCAAAGTCAGATGCTTAACCAACTGAGCCACCCAGGTGCCCCATGAGTTCTTTTACATGCTAAAGACGTAATATTTTTTCCATTATGCTTTTTATGTTTTATGCCTTTTTACAGTAAGATTATAAAGATATTCTCTTGTAGTTTTGCCTTGTGTAGGATTTATATCTCTTGTAGTTTTCCTTGTGTAGGATCACACTTGGATCTTCAGTCCATTTAAAATTTATTTTTGTGAGGTGATTTACAGATCTAATTTAAAAACAAACTCCCCAAAGGAAAATGTGGCCAAGCAACTCTCCTGCTTTCCTATGGTCAAAAGCAACCTCAGAGAAGGATACCACAGATTCAAGCATTTAATAAGGGGTGATAAAATTAGATCTAATGCATTGTATCAATACATGTCTCTATCTTAATTATAGTCAAAAGAAAATTATCTTTTCCCCATTTAATCTATTTAATTTAGAATAAGTTGTGAGATTCCATTGGTCTTAATCTCCATATTCCCTAATAGAATGCTCTATGCATAGCAGTGATTCAAAAATGTTTGTTGATTTAAATAAAGAAGAGACTATAAAAAAAATGTAAAGAAAAGCATAGTACCAATAATGCTTTCAAGTCAATCTAGTAGAATAATATATACTCTATTCAATGATATTTAAGTGGAATAAGAGTCATGAGTGAGGAACAAAGTGAAGTATTTGTTTTACTCACCGTCCTGACAAAGTATTGATGATGTTGAGATAATATATGCAAATCATTCGGCCCCAGTCTCTGTACACAGTAGGTCCTTGTTACTATATGGTAGGAAACCAGAAAATACTTGTTTTCATTATTTCAGATGTTCATTGGGGTGGAAGACTTTTCTACTGTGGAATCTTTAAGTTTTTAGGAAATAGTTTTATATATGAAATAAAATCCTAAACACCCTAATAAACGCTGAATTTTAAAGGTTTAATATGATTAACAACATAGCTTAAAAAAATGAAATTCATTATTAATTGACATTGATGGTCTCTTCATAAAGCCAGACATAAGCTTATAAAACAATAAAGAATGGACCTTAGTGGGTGTCATTCAAATTCTTTCCTCTTTTTTCAGTTATAGCTTGTGTCTATTATATGCTAAATTAGGACACAAAGAGGGACTAAACTAATTTATAAAATGCTATGACTTTAAATATCATATGTTAGAATAAATCAATAGATGAAATATATTTGAAGTGGGTGAAATAACCACTTTTGACTTGGTTGGCATTTAAACCTTTTGGGCTTAGGAATCACTGATGTGGCACTTTCAGAGGATTTGATTTTATAGGCTTCTTGGCCCAGAGTTTTTAAAAATACAAAAAGGAATGTGGCCTTAGAGATAAGACAGGCATCAGGCTGTCACTGTGAAGCTGCTTTGCTTTTAAATGGCCTGTTCCCAAGTTTGAATTCATAATCTAGTGGTAGAAAAGCTTTGGATTTGCTGGCAAAAATGAAAGATGCTCAGAAGCTATTACCTTAAAATAGAAATTGATAGATAAATAAGCTATGGAAGTTTAGATTCTGACCTGAAAGGAAGTGGAGAATTGAATTAGATAATTATCTTGTTAACTTCAGACAAAATTAAAGTTCACCTTTAAAAGAATCAGATCATTAATGCCAAAGTATAGATTCTCATTCACTTACATGATACAAAGTAAAACGAAATTACTAATATTGTGTAGATTTATTTAAAATATTTTAATTTGTAAAGTCTCACTTAAACACGTGTTTAAAATGTGCAGAAAACTCTCAAGGACTCTGAAAATAGGGAGAAAAAGTGCCACTGAATATTAATTATTTAAAAAGAAAATCCTTGCCTTGTTTTTCCTATCTAGCATATGAGAACTTGAATTTGCCTTTGGTATTCTGATCAAAGAAACAGGAAAGAAAAAGACAGACATTCCTAGGGATAATCTCAAATGAAATGTTTTTACTCCACGATCATAGCCTGTGTCTGTTATATTCTAAATTAGAAGAAAAGTAGAGACCAAGCTAATTTATGAAATGCCATGACTTTACAGAGCTTAAGTTCAGATAAATCAACAGAGAGAAGCATAAACTAATCAAGACCTACTTAATATCAGTGAGAAATTCCTACCTTTATGTCTTCAGGAATAGTTGCTAAATAATGGCTACTCATTGATCTCTGAGAGGGAACTTGTGGTCAAATGGAAGCTGAATTTCCCAGTTAGTGTCTGGGTCACTGTCACTGACTTAACCAAGCCTGACTTGGACAAATGACAGTACATTAATCCACCAAAAGGCAGTGTTAGGAGGTTTCATAACCCCACTTAGGAAACTGCAGGATTAGAGGAAAATCATTATTTCTTGGAGGAGTAACCAAGGGGGTTTCCTGTCTCATCAGCTTGGAAGGGTGTGGAATGACACTTGCAAGTGGGAAGGAAGACCTGGACTGAGGAGTCATAACTCATTCTGCTAAGTCAGTCATCTCTGCCTGAGGCTTCTAAAGTACTTGATTTTCAAATCAAATCTAAACCTCCTAAATAAGTAGAAAAACATAGGCACAAAGCCAAATAATTAAACCAAAACACAGGATTTGTATTTTGTTCTTTATGTATTCTATAACAAATTATAATTTAGTAAAGAAAAGAAACAAGATTTGAGAAGTGGTCTCAGGTTCATCTCCCATTGCAAGAGCAGACATAGTCTTTGAAACTAATATTCTCTAAGAGTATAAAGAAAATATAATTGTATAGTAACTGAAATGTGTCTCCATAGCATATTATCTAGTTAAAAAATGTAATTCCCTAAAATTTCACTTGGAATCATACAAAATGCAAGACATGATTCTTTGTTTTGATCATTCATTTAACAAATGTTACTGAATACCTATTTGGAGTCAATTAGGATGCTAAGTACTGATAGTGCAACAGTATGCTAAAAGAGACACTGTGAACTTGTGCAATAAATTCTAATAGGACAGATATTTATAAAAATAGCCACACATATGAATGAGAAACTAAGAATTGCAGTGTTATGAAGGAAAGCCATAAGATTCAATGAAACATGAGAAAAATGTCTCAGCATAGAAATTTGGTTATAAACTGGGTAAAATAGGTACTTACTGGTGTCAGTCACCAGAATATTGTTCTGTGGCTTGCATAGAGAAAGGTCCTGAGAATAAGAGGAAATTGTTACAAATCTTAGGGTTCATTATAGGCACTGTTTCCTTCCCTACCCACGAAGCAAAAAGTTTTATATTGTATATATTTAAGTAGGCAGCCAAGGCACCATCAAAAACCATCTCAAAGAAAAAAATATTATCAATATGCTCGAAAGGTTTCCTTTCATCTAGTGGTCATATTACTTATGAAAGGATCAGAAGTCAGTTTAATCTGTTTTTTTTTAACCCAAATGGGCAAAAGATAGTTTTCAACATACCCCTTGTACAGAACTCTCAAATGTGTGAACATGAGAATTCAATATATGCTTATTTTCAAATGCTTTGCAGTTTTTTACTGAAGTATAATCGACATAAAATAACCTACTGGCTTTAGGTATACCTCATGGTGATTCGGTGTTTTTATACATTACAAAATGATCTCCATGATACATCTAGTTAACATCTGTTACCATATAAAATTATTACAATATTATTGGCTATATCCTTACGGCTTATGTTTTATAACTAGAAGTTTGTAACTCTTAATCACCTTTACCTATTTCACCTACCCCCAACCCCTCCCCACTCTGGTAATCAGTTTGTTTCCTATACCTATGAATCTGTTTCTGTTCTGTTTTTTAGTTTGCACATATAAGTGAAATTTGTCTTTTTCTATTTAACTTACCATCATACCCTCTAGGTTCATCCATGCTACTACAAATGGCAAGATTTAATTTTTTATGGTGTAGTAATATTCCATTGTACATATATTACATCTTCATCAGTTTGTCTATGGATGGACACTTAGGTTGCTTCTATATCTTAGCTATTGTAAATAATGCGGCAATGAATATAGAAATGAATATTTCTCCTCAAATTGGTGTTTTTGTTTTCTTTTGGTAAACAGCCAAAAGTAGAATTGTTAGATTGTATGGTATTTCTATTATTAATTTTTTGAGGAACCTCCATACTGCTTCCCATATTGGCTGCACCAAATTATTTTCTCAGCAACAGCACACAAGGGTGGTTGACTTTTCTCCACATCCTTTCCAATAACTTGCTATTTTTTTTGTCCTTTTGATAATAGCAAATCTGACAGGTATGAAGTGATATATCACTGAGGTTTTGATTTGCATTTCCCTGATGATTAGTGATGTTGAACATCTTTTCTTGTGCCTCTTGGCATTTGTAGGTCTTCTTTGGAAAAAATGTCTTTTCAAGTACCACCCATTTTTTTCATTGGATTTTTTATATTAAGTTATGTAAGTGCTTTATATATTTTGGATATTAACCTCTTATCAAATATATCACTTGCAAATATCTTCTTCCATTCAGTAGGTTGTCTTTTCATTTTGCTGATGCTTTCTTTCACCACTGAAAAGCTTTTCAGTTTGAAGTAATCTTGTTTGTTTATTTTAGCTTTTGTTGTGCTTGCCTGAGACTGGTCCAAAAATATGTTTAAGACTGATGTTGAAGAGCTTACTGCTTATGTTTTCTTCTAGGATTTTTGTGGTTTCAGGTCCTACATTCAAGTTAACCCATTTTGAATTTATTTTTGTAAGGTATTCATCCAGTGTCATTCTTTTGCATGTAGCTCCAATTTTTCCAAAACTATTCATTGGAGACTCATTGTACATTTTTGCCTCCTTTGTCATTGACTAATTGACCACATCAGCATGGGTTTATTGCTGGGATTCCTTTTCTAAATGCTTTTCAGTTTTGATAAGGGTTTGCATGGTGCTATCTTTGTTCTGTTCCAGGAGATTATGTGGTCATGTCTGTCTACTTTGACCTGAGCAGAAGAATGGGATACTTCACCATCCAGACCTACATCCCCTGCACACTCATCGTTGTCCTATCCTGGGTATCTTTCTGGATCAATAAGGACGCTGTTCCAGCCAGGACTTCTTTAGGTGAGACACATTCCTTTGTGTTTTAGTGTTTCAAGTACCCAATATCAATAATCTTCATTCCCCTAAGTTGATTTGCTTTTACCTCAGTCAGCAATTACATAGAAATGCTGTTATGTTATGCTGTGTTATGTCATGTTGAGAGAGAGGCAGAGAGATAGAGACAGCGAGCAGGAGATGGAGAGAAGGAATCTTAAGCAGACTCCTCACTCAGCGCAGAGCCTGACACAGGGCCCAATCTCATGACCCTGATATCATGATCTGAGTGAAATCAAGTATCAGACACCCAACTGAGATACCTAGGTGCCCCTATTTCATTTTGAAGAAAACTAGCATTAAAAGAGGTGTTTAAAAGTTTTCTAGTTCTAGTTCTCCTTAATTACCTTTATTTGCTTTCTTTGGTAAATTTTCTTAATAAATTTCAATTAACTAGGAAAAAATCAAACTTCTAATTTCAACAGATTTTTGTTTTGGTCTCTGGGCAGTTATATTTTGGAGCTGCCCACACAAACTCATAAGAGCTCATTGTGTTTATTCTTTCCAAACGTTGTATTGAGAGATGTCACATTGGTAGACTGAAGTCAGCCAAGGTGAGAGTATTAACATCATGGAAATAGGCAAACACTAAAAATCAGGACTCCCTTTTTTTCCCCCAGTAAATTGTCACACATTTACCAGTGCATAACTGATGTCTATTAATTCCAACATCCACAATTATAATGACATTTGAAGACATATACACAGCCATTGGCTCTGTGTAGAAGAACAAATTTAAAATGCTATTTTTGAAAAAATACCTGTAACATTTTTGGAACACCAGCATTCATCCACCACACACACACACACACACACACACACCCACACACACCCACACACACACATTCTTTTAAGATTATTTGAGGTTGCTTGATGTATTGTATATGTGGTATTACCTTGGATTTTCATACATCTTTCCTCATGTGAGGAAGAAGGTTCACATAGATTATTACAAAGCCACAGACTCACAGGGACATTACAGTCTAGGTCCATGAATGATATTTTCATACTACATAAAATGCCTTAGATAACTAAGAATAGAGCTGTCGAAAGGTGAATTATAAAATCACAATCCTCTTTCATCAGCTCTGTGAAAACTAGAACCACATCTCTTGCTCAGTCTTTGGCTAGAGAGTCAATACAATTGCAATAGTCAGGAGCTTGGGTTTTAAAATCCAATAAACCTGGATTTCAACCCACATGTATAATATAACCTTGAAAATGCTCTTTAATTTGTATAAATCACAGTTTCTTCAAATGGAGAACATATATCATTTTCTGTACCTAACTTGTAGGGTTTTATTAGGTTACATAAAGTATTCTATGTAACACATATGAAATATAGTAAGGCCTTAGAAATGTTAGCAACTACAGGTGACCCTTGAATAATGTGAGGATTAAGGGTTTTGACTCCACCTGTGCAAAAATCAATGGATAATTTCTAACTCTCCCAAAACTTAAGTACTAATAGCCTATTGTTGACTGGAAGCCTTACCACTAACACACACACTTTATGCTACACGATCTATGTACTGTATGATCTTACAGTAAAAGTAAGGTAGAGAAAAGCAAATGCGAAGAAAATCGTAAGGAAGAGAAAATACAGTACTGTGCTGTATTTATTGAAAAAAAAAATCTGAATAGAGTGGACCCATGTAGTTCAAGGGTCAACTACATAGTCATTTTCAGACAAAATGACCTGTACCAGGTTATTAAAACTGAGGGCAAAAGATGTTATGGGAAGAAGACATCATTTGCATGTTTATCCCCTTCTAAACCTAATTTATTTTCCCAATTTTCAAAATAGTTTTATTTTGATTTTTCTGTTATATGGAGTACTTTATTACAAGTCCTATTCAAAAGTCATGAGATCTTGTCTGATACTTTAAGTTGAAACAAATCCAAAATATGTTGAGAGTATTACTTTAGGACCATTACTTGTCACTGTGATTAGAATGCATTGCATTACATGCTCACATGTCTATCTCTCACAACAGAATATAAATGTTTTTTTTCATTCCCAGTATAGTGCCTGGTGCATAGCTGGTACCTCAGTGATTATTCAAGTAATGTATGCTCTTAAGAATGGATGGAACAAATGCATTAATGCATTTCAATCTACCCCTATCAAAGATATTTTAAGGAAAAGCTTTTAAATCAATCTCGTCTCTTGAAATTCAGACTTCCGCTGGTCAAAACCCCTCTTAAGACCATTTGGTAATTCATTTCGACCACCCATTAAGTGAATGCTCATTGCAAAGCACCATGGTAGGAGAAGGGATCTAGGTGAGTGAGCTAAGGAATGAGGGAGAGGCCCCTGAACAAATAACAGGTAGGTATTCCTATTTGTTAATCTTTGACTACAAGTCCTGCATGTTTAATATAGCACCTGTGCCCTTTCTGCTCTATACAAGTACATACAGAAGTTGAAATGACAATAAAAATTATTATCACATATTTTAGGGTAAGCAGAGGGCTGCAATGTTAAATGACATTAACAAAGTCACAGGACCAGCAGATAGTACATCTATCTGCACCTTGGATAATGGGACTTATATTTGCTCTGTGAGGCCTTGTTGAAGGCTGTAGTGGGGAAAGGTGGGCCAGCTGAACTGACACAGTTCCTCTGTATTAACTTTGCTGTCTTCTCCTGATGTAGAACTTCTTAAATTTAACTGTGCATTTAAATCACCAGAGTGCCATTAAAAGTACAGCTGCCTCAGTCCAATCACAGGACATGTCGATTTCATTTTTGAAATCATGGCCTGGGTGTCAGGATTAAAAAGCAATTTTGCAGGTGATTCAAATGTGTGATCATATTACCTTTTCCAGTGTTCATAACCTAGAGTTAAACCAGATGACTCTAAACCCCTGTGGATCATAAGTTTCTTGCTGCAGAATAGTGATAGGCAAGTTGTTTAGTAAGTGAGATAAATATACCTGTGTGGCTCAGATTCTGGCTGCTTTCTGAGCTCAGACCACAAGGGCATGGGGGGGGAGCAGTTATCTTGGAGCTTGTAACACTTGAATGTAGTTTGGTATGCAGGCGGTAGCTGGTAAACCTTAATCATGATTTCATGACGATGGATGAAATGGTAAAAATACCAGTTGGTATTTTTCACCTAAGTAACCTGAGGTACTTAAGTACCTATTTTTCACCTAAGTAACGTGAGGTAACATGCCTGAGAGCTTACTTGATGCCAGGACTGGAGGAATTGATAAAACTTGTGCATATTTTTCATCCATCCCAGGTAAGAGAGGTCTAATTCTTTGCTTAGCAAAACTGCGCTTAAAAACCACCCCCAGCTATCTTGTTGGTTGGTGAATGAGTTAAAACTACACTTGTCTGCCACTCATTGTTCTCTTGCCTGAGGCTCCCAGCATAAACTTGAAAATATCATGAAACAGTTTCCTTAAGGTTTTTCTTTTAAATGGCTGTGATGAACTTCCAAGTAGCCTAAATAACATTTTCTCAACTTGCTTGATAAGAGTTTAACTTACATGTCAGATCTGTCAGATTTTCTGAAGTGAATTTATCTATGGTATCTACTATAAATACTGACATTTTCACTCCTCCATAGGTCAAGTGTGGCTTGAGGCCTGAATGTGAAGGGAAGGTCAGGTCCCAATTTAGTTTTTAAATTCTCCTCCCCCAAATACCAACTGTAATTAAGTAGTCAAGAACTTCTACATGAATTAATGCATAGACAACTAAAGTGAAGCTTTTTCAGTTTGAGAAGCAGACTGTTCTTCTCTAAAATAAATATCTTACATTTACTGATATCTTACTAGGAATTGACAGTTAATGAACATTACTTAATTTTCATGAGAATACTATGGGGTCTGCCCCTCTCCACACCATCCCAGTTTGTAGAGGAGAAATTTGGCCATTGCTGAAGTTCTACCATGGCAATATGGAAGACCCACAGTCCACATCATCCCAGATTAGGAATATACACTAGCTTCCAAGTGTCTGGGGCTTCATGCTGCATATTAGATACATATTTGTAGAGAATGAAAGAATATAACAATGTGGGTCAGAACATAGCATTTTATTTATTTATTGTTTGTTTGTTTGTTTGTTTGAGAGAGAGACCGAGCGAGCATGAGTGGGGAGGGGCAGAGAGAAGAGTGAGACACAGAATTCAAAGCAGACTCCAGACTTTGAGCTGTCAGCACAAAGCCTGACACAGGACTCAAACCCATGGACCATGAGATCATGATCTGAGCCGAACTCAGATGCTTAACCTACTGAGCCACCCAGGTGCCCCAGAGCATTGTGCTTTAAATCAGATTCCACAGGCTTGCATCTCATCTCATCTCTGTCCCTTACTACCTTGGACAAATTTCTTATTTTTTTTGGTGCTTTTTTTCACCTGCAAAAAAAAGGGATAACAGTGATAATCCTCATTGTGAGGATAATACATCAAGTGCCTGACACAGTACCTGGCCAAAGAAGGAGATCCATAAATGTTAGCTGCTTTTATGTGCAGTTAAAACTCTCTCCTCCAAGTCATCAATATGAAATCCTATTTTCAAATGTAGGGTAACTGTCTCTGTCCTTTCATGTATACACTATTCATTGATTGGTTCATTTATGAACTCAAAAGATATTGAGTCCAAGAACTACACTTGTCCATAAAATCACAAAGGACATTAAGATAGAGGTCTTTTCTGTTGTCTCAGAGTATACAGACTAGGAAGGGAGATGGGTTATTCCATAATAATAATATAGGAAAGAGGATAGGATTTATAACTGTAGTTCCCTGATCGTTCCTCCCTCTCTGTGAAAGGCTACTCTTTTCTGTGAAGTGATTTCAACCAGCACAGATCTTTCCCCTCTTGAGAATTTCATAACAGAAAATCAGAGGAAACTTGATTTTAACTAAGACATAATGGCCCAAGAGAGCCACATGGTTCTTGTGACTTTTTTATTCTATAACTGGAAGTTTGTACTTCTTACTCCC